ATTGATTAAAAACTAAACAGGAGGAAATAACACATATTAGATTGTTGCAAAAAATATATCAATTTATTCTTTGACAAAAACTGGGTGCCCCATTTGGGGAGTGGGGTGGGCCACCTAGTTTTTGTCAAAGACACACACACCCACACTCACAGACACAGAGAGAAAGACACTCACACACACACATATATGGAGACACACATTCTTAGAGAGAGAGACACACACACATAGAGACACACATTCTCAGAGAGAGAGACACACACATACGCAGACACAAAGAAACATGCACGCACAGAGACAGAGGAGAGACATTATTCACACCGACACTCACAAACACACACATAGATAGAAGAGACACACAGACACATTCAGAAACACATACATAGAGGAGAGAAAGAGACACTCACAAACACATACATAGAGGAGAGAAAGAGACACTCGCAAACACACACATACAGAGGAGAGAAAGACAAAGACGCACTCAAACAGAGCCACTCACAAACAGACACACAGACGGAGGAGAGAGACAACTCACATAGAGACACATATACACATTCACACAGATACACTCATAAACACGCGCACATATAGAAGACATGCACACAGACACACTCACTCACACTGCGACACTCACAAACACATGCAGAGGAGAGACACACTCACACAGTCACTCACAAGCACATACAGAGGAGACACACTCACATAGACACACAAATACATACAGAGGAGAGAAACACATTCATACAGACACTCACAAACACATACCAAAAAGAGAGACACACACTCACATAATAATAATAATCCTTGCATTTGATATAGCGCTTTTTCACGTCTTCTACAGCGTATACTATAAAGTGAGTTGACCATATATTTGTGGGTGAAACGCAGCAGCCAATTGCACACAGCAGTGTCCCACAAACAGTCCTGGATAGAAGTGACTAATTTTTATTGCTTTTTTTTGTGAGGGATTATTAGCAGGCATGTGGAGTAAGGAAACTTGCCGAAGGTTTCGTCCTGCCAGGAATCAAACCCAGGTCTCTCGCTTGCAAAGCGAGTGCTCTATAACAGCAACAACAAAATTACATTTATAGAGCGCCTTTCACATTGGGAGGATGTCCCAAAGTGTTGAACAGTCAGGTGTCGGGGTCCGAATATGGGGTAGCGGTGGTGTAGGGGTAAAGGAAGACAGAGAGGTGGGAGGGAGACCAAAGGCACGATCGAAGAGAAGGGTCTTGAGGCCGGCCTTGAAGGAGGCAAGGGAGGAAGCGAGGCAAAGGGACCGTGGGATGAAGTTCCAGAGTGTGGGGGTAGAGAGGCTGAAAGCCCGGACACCGATGGTAGGGCGGGTTGGACGGGAGACATGGAACAGGCGGAGCCCACTGAATATAGGGAGCGGGCAGGTTGGTAGGGAGTCAGCAGGTCAGAGAGGTAGGAGGGCGCAAAGCCATGGATGGCCTTAAAGGTGAGGATGAGGATCTTGAACTCAATCCTCTGGGGGATGGGGAGCCAGTGGAGTCGGGCGAGGGTGGGAGTGATGGGGTCACGAAGCCTGGTGCGTGAGAGTACACAAACTGCAGAGTTTTGGATGATCTGCAGCTTGTGAAGTGAAGAGGTGGGAAAGCCGATGAGGAGGGAATTCCCGTAGTCAAGCCTTGAGGTGACGAATGCATGGGTGAGGGTTTCAGCAGCCTGAGGGGTGAGGCAGTGGTGGAGTCTGGCAATGTTGCGGAGTGAGAGAGTGACAGTGAGAGAGAGTGAATGAGTGACAGAGTGAGTGTGTGACAGAGTGACTGATGGAGTGAGTGACAGTGAGTGAGTGACAGTGAGAGAATGACAGTGAGAGAGTGAAAGAGTGAGTGAGTGACAGAGTGAGTAACAGGGTGAGTGACAGGGTGAGTGACAGAGTGAGCGACAGAGTGAGAGTGACAGTGTGTGACAGTGAGTGAGTGAGTGAGTGAGAGTGAGCGAGTGACAGAGTGAGTGAGTGACAGTATGTGTGTGAGTGACGGAGGGACGGAGGAAGGGAGGGACGGAGGAAGGGAGGGACGGAGTGAGTGACTGAGAGAATGACAGTGAGAGAATGACAGAGTGCGTGGCAGTGTGTGTGTGAGTGACGGAGTGAGTGAGTGTGTGTGTGAGTGACGGAGGGAGGGAGTGACGGAGGGAGGGAGTGACGGAGGGAGGGACGGAGTGAGTGACAGTGAGAATGACAGTGAGAGAATGACAGAGTGAGAGTAAGTGAGTGAGAGTGGTGGTAGGCAGCGCTGGTCATGGCGCAGATGTAGGGGAGAAAGGACAGTTCAGGGTCAAACAAGACACTCAGGTTCCTGACTGGCTTAGTGAGGTTGAGTGTGCAGCCGTGCTCGAGGTGCGGAGGCACCGCCGCGAGCCAATCAGGAGGGCCTCGGTCTTGCCGACGTTGAGTTGGAGAAAGTTGTCCCTCGTCCAGGACTTGATGTTGGACAGGCAGTTGGTCAGGACGCCAGTAACTGGAGTTCAGAGGAGAGGCATAGAGATAGAGTTGGGTGTCATCCGCATACATGGGAAATTTACCCCATGTCTGCGGATGACGTCACCAAGGGGGAGCGTGCTCTAACCACTGAGCTACAGGACTCCTAGACACTCACAAACATATACAAAAGAGAGAGATACACTCACACAGACACTCACAAACACATGCAGAGGAGAGAGACACTCAGACAATCTCAACAGTGGGGCCTCCGAGTGGAGTAAAGCCCGTGTGTCCGGAGCCGCTCTGCCCACAGTTACATCGGGTAAACAGCGTGAGAGGCCCTAGCCCAGAAACTTCATTTTTAGCAGATTTATAGTGGAGGGCACTGTTTATAGTTTTCTGTGGCCCAGACGATGACTCAGCCGGTGCTGTCATCAGCAGTACCCTGGAAAATGGGGACTTGGCTGGCTCAGGAACTGCACTGTCGAGACCACCACAGAGAGTGTGTCATCTTGGAACTTGATCAGTTCCAAGGAGACACTCATACTTCCCCCTCCCCCAAGGAGAAGTCACTTGTTTTCATATGACATGGAAGAGGTCAGGTCTGTTCTCTGCACCAGCCCCACCCTTCGTGTGCCCCTCTATTCCCTTCTCTCTTGTACGGGTCAGGTTCCTCTTAAATGTGTAGCCTGCTTCAACCCCAGCTTCTGGCATTGAGTTGCAGATTCTCACCTAATCTAGCTTGGTGAGAATGTGCAACTCACTTGTCAGAAGCTGGGGTTGAAGAAAGATGCATTAATGTATTTAAGAAGAACTTGATGCAAACATTAGAAAGGGAAATAAAGAGGTATAGGAATGGTGAGGGCTTGTGTGGAGTATAAGCATGAACTAGTTGGGCTAGATGGCCTGTTTCCGTGCCATACCATTCTGTGTAATTCTATGCAAACTAACCACTATCTGAAGCAATCATTTGTTTGCAATCCTGAGCAACTATATCCCATATAGTTTGCACACAAAACAGTCACTGCACGTTACAGTTTACCCTGTGAAGGCCTTTGAGGTGTCCTCCCTATGTGAAAGACACTACATCAAATATAAGAATTATTCTTATTTATAATCATAGAACTTGAATCATAGGAAGACTCCATAAACTGGCATCTGCTGAAGCCAGCTACTCTAACCTTAATTGCCCGCTTTTGTACCCCTTTTTACATTCTTCCTCTTCAAATTGTTGTAACTGTCGTTAGGTCTCAATCTCAGTAACCACTAGAGGCAGAGCATCCCATATTCTAATAGACAATTGTCTACATCAGGGTAGTTCAACTGGCGGCCGATTTCATTCCCCTCACCCCCGTTTCATCTGCCCAACTCGCTCCCTCCATAACCCGAAAATGTTATATCTTTCTGAAAGGGAAACAGAAAAATATTGCTTATGCGGCCTGTGGACATTTCTCATATAGGCCATCCGGCCCTCAGCAGTCAAAAGTTGGACCAGCCTGGTACATGATGCATGTACACTTAAAGAAGTGACAAAGAGGGTAACCGTTTTACTACTGTACATATCTAGCCTTTTCAGGTGTGCTGTACCAGAAGTCGTAACGGGAAATTCTTTTGGAGTAAACCTATCTTTGGTTCTGTTGCAGTTCATTGGTTCCAGAGTGGGTCATTCCCATAATCAGCACGATTGGACCTGAGCTGGATGAATTCTTTCCATATCCCTATTCAGCAGAACTTCGAGGAGTGTGCAAAGCCATTGGAATAAGCATTGGCGAAGGAATTCTCCTGAATTTTGTCTATGAGGCTACTGCGTAAGTCCTTTTCTTCTTCCTTTTATTTCCTACCCCTTCTCCTTTTCAATTTATTTTTAACTTTTTTTATTTTCCATTGCAAATTCCCTCTTACCCCAATGATTCTTCCTTGAAGTAATGCAAAGATATTTACTGCAATTTCTCTGCTACTTCACTCCAGCGGCCATTCTTCATATATGAGTCTACAAAGTGAGTGTCGGGCTTAACTATGTCAGCCCCACACTGTCCTTACCTGAATTCCACAGACTTGCACACAAAAAGCGGTCACTCCAAAGTGATCTTTCCCTCTCTATTTCTGACTCAGTTGGTAGCACTCCTGCCTCTGAGTCACAAGGTTGTGGATTTGAATCTCACTTCAGGATCTTGAGCTCATAGACTAAGCTACTGCTACAGTGCACTACTGAAAGAGCAGTTCATTGTCTGGTGTCATCCTTTGGACAAGAAATTAAATCAACAACAACGGATTTATATTGCGCCCTCCATGCCGGACGGCATCTCAGAGCGCTTCACAGTAACGGATCCCGGGGCCGAGCCAGGGGGAGGGGCGGAAGGTGACCAAAGGCGCGGTCGAAAAGAAAGGTCTTCAGCAGAGACCTGAAAATAGGAAGAGAGAGAACGAGACAAAGGGAGTGAGGAAGGGAGATCCAGAGCCTTGGGGCATAGTGGCTGAAAGCACGGCCGCCGAGGGTGGAGCAGAGGACTCAGGGGACGAGGAGGAGGCCAGACCCGGAGGAACAAAGGCAACGGGTACTGTTTTGAGGAGAGAGGAGATCAGAGAGGTAGGGGGGTGCAGAGGAGTGGAGGGATTTGAAGACAAGGATGAGGATCTTGAAGTCGATCCTTTCTGGGACAGGGAGCCAGTACAGTCTGGCAAGGACTGGGGTGATCGGGGAGCAGCGTTTTGTGCGGGTGAGAATGCGAGCGGCAGAGTTTTGAATAATCTAGATTTTATGGATGGTAGTGGAGGGGAGACCGGTGAGGAGGGCATTAGAATAGTCAAGCCAAGAGGTGACAAAGGCATGGACCAGGGTTTCAGCGGCTTTCGGAGAGAGGTATGAGCATAGACGGGCGATGCGTTGGAGGTGGAAGAAAGTGGTGCTGGTGAGGGACTGGATGTGGGGGAGGAAGGATAATTGGGGGTCGAACCTGACGCCTAGGTTGCGTATGGGTTCGGAGAGTTTTAGGGGGAGGTTGGGTAGGTGGAGGAGGTGAGAAGCGTGAGATTTTAGACGTTGACGAGAGCCAAAGAGTATGGTTTCCGTCTTGTCAACTTTCAGCCGAAGGAAGTTTGCTCTCATCCAGCCCCTGAGGTCTGACAGGCAGGCTGACAGAACATCAGGGGACTGGGGGTCGCAAAGAGAGGTGGAAAAATAGAGTTGGGTGTCATTCACATACCCCATGTCTACAGATGACATCCCCAAGAGGGAGCATGTAGATCAGAAAGAGGACGGGGCCAAGGATGGATCCTTAGGGTACCCCGCAGGTAACCGGGTGAGAGCAGGAGGAGAAGCCGTTTGTGCAGATGTACTGCTGGCGGTTTGTGAGGTAGGACTCAAACCAGGCGAGTGCGGTCGGTCCCACTGAGGTGGATGACGGAGGAAAGGCTGTGGAGGAGGATGGCGTGATCGACTTGTCGAACGCAGAGGAGAGGTCCAGGAGGACAAGGAGACAGAGAGAGCCCTGGTCACAGATAGAGAGGATGTCGTTTGTGACTTTCACAAGCGCAGTCTCTGTACTGTGGGCGGAAACCGGACTGGAGGGGTTCGAAGAGAGAGTGTGAGGAGAGGTGTGCGCGGAGTTGATTGGCAACAACGCGTTCTAGGACTTTTGTGAGGAAGGGCAGGTTAGAAATGGGGCGGGAGTGGCTGGAGTTTGAGGGATCTAGGGAAGGTTTTTTGAGGAGGGTGGTGATGACAGCAGTTTTGAGGGGGGCAGGGACAGATCCAGATTTGTCTACCTGTTAAGGTGGATTTTAACAATCCCATGGCACTTGGTGAAAAGAGGGAGTTTCTCCCAGTGTCCTGGCCAACAATCCTCCAGATAAAATTGGTCGTTCATTGCACAGTCTCACATTGACATCTCAAGGTACTTCAGATTTGAATACCAAGCCAGGGGAGGGGGAGGTATTAAATTGGGTTTCTAAGCTCAGGAAAGAGGGAGCAAGCTGGAAGGTTTCCAGCCTGGCGTTCAATAGAGCAGGGGCATCTAGTCTGCCTGTGTGATACCCAGTGTGTAAGATGGTTACAATGTATTGACAAAACTAGTGACCACGTTTACCCATTCACATTAGTCTAGCACAGTGGTGGCCAACCTAGTGGGCTGGGGGCAAAAGTGGCCCGCGAACATTCGCACCAATCTAGGTAAGTCTGTATTCGGTCGGTAGTGTGTTTTCAGTTTTTCTTGATTGAACATTTGTTGACTTAACGGCATAAATGAACAAATATTCAATCAAGAACATTTATTTTGTTTGCTGTCTATGAAGCTTGGCCTCCACTGGTCCAGTGGCCCGATCATCTGCCTGGTCACACCGAAAAGCAATTCTGCATTACTCGTCTCTCATACATTCTTCACCAAATACCTATTTCATTTCTTCCCACTGACACAATGAGATTGAAGTTCATTTGGAATGAAGTATTTTGATGTTTGACTTGTTCTAAAAGAAGAGATGTGCAATTGTATACTTTCCTCTCAGGTTTTGCACCAGCATTGTTGCTCAAGACACAAAAGGAAATATTTACCATGGGAGAAATCTGGATTACAGTTTTGGTGAAAGTTTACGGAAGCTCATAGTGGAACTGCAATTTGAAGCGAATGGACAGGTGGGTCCTAAGATCCTTACATTTGATATAATGCCATTTCATGGCAGGAGAATGTCTCAAAGCACTTCACAGAATATACTGTAACTTATAGATGAAGTATTAGTAAGTGATGAATGGATACAGATATTCAAAAAACATTGGACAGGTTTTTTTTCTCTCTCTCTCTTTCTCAAGATGATATCATAGAATCATAGAATCGTACAGCACAAAAAGAGGCGATTCGGCCCGTCGAGTTTGTGCCGGCTCTTTGAGTAGAGCAATTAATGTCAATCCCACTCCCCAGCCCTTTCCCCTTAACCCTGCAAACCCACCCTCCTCAAATACCCGTCCACCGCGTTTTTAAAAGTAGTTATCGAATCGGCCCCAACCACCCTTTAATAATAATAATAATAATAATCCTTGCATTTGATATAGCGCTTTTCACGTCAGGAGGACGTCCCAAAGCGCTTCACAGAACACACTGTAAAGTGAATTGATTGTATATTTGTGGGCGTACGCGGCAGCAAATTGCGCACAGCAATGTCCCACAAACAGTCCTAGATTGAAAATGAAAATGACCAATTTATTTTTGTTTTGGGTTTTTGAGGGATTATTATTAGGCTCTGTGTGGAGGAGGGAAACTTGCCCAAGGTTTCGCCCTGCCTGGAGTTGAACTCAGGTCTCTTGTTCGGAAAGCGAGTGCTCTAACCACTGAGCTACAGGACTCCACATAAAGGCAATGCGTTCCAGATTCGAACAACTCGCTGCATGAAAAGGTTTCTTCTCACTTCCCCTCTGCCTCTTTTAGATACTATTTTGAATCTGTGACCTCAAGTCACCAACACACCCACCAGTGGAAACAGTTTTCCCCTTTCTAACCTATCAAATCCCCTCATGATTTTGATGACCTCTATTAGGTCTCCTCGTAACCTTCTCTGCTCCAAAGAGAATAATCCCAGCCTCTCCAGCCTTTCCTCATAATCAAGGTCCCTCATTCCTGGTACCATCCTCGTAAATCTCCTCTGCACCCTTTCCAATGCCTTAACATCCTTCCTATAGTGTGGTGCCCAGAACTGGGCGCAGTATTCTAACTGAGGCCTAACCAGTGTTTTATGACCGTGCCTCTTTGACCGTGCCTTCAGCTCCCCTCTCGACTCTCTTCCTCCTCCTCGCTCCCTCCCTTCCCTCCCCTCACCCTGACCATTTCCCCCCTCCTCTCTCCCTCCCTTCCCTCCCCTCACCCTGACCATTTCCCCCCTGCTCGGGTCATGACCCAACTGTGCAGCGCCTTGGGACGTCCTCCTGACGTGAAAGGCGCTCTATAAATGGAATCTTGTTGTTGTTGTTGTTGTTTTATATAGGTTAATCATAACTTCCTGACTCTTGTACTCTATGCCCCTATTTATAAAGCCTAGTATCCTATATGCCCATTTTACAGCCTTGTCTACCTGTCCTGCCACCTTTAAGGATTCATTTACCTGAACCGCCAGGTCTCTCTGTTCTTTTACCCCCCTTAAGATTGTATTACCAGCCTGTATTGCCTCCCCTCATTCTTTCTACCAAAATGCATTACCTCGCATTTCTCCACATTGAAACTCATCTGCCATGTGTCTGTCTATTTTACCATTCTGTCTATGTCTTCGTGCAGTTGGCTCCTATCCTTCTCACTGTTTACCACCCTACCTAACTTTGTGTTGTCCTTTACCACTCTACCTAACTTTGTGTCGTGATTGAGAGGGAACCTGATAAAGGTATTTAAGATTATGAAAGAATTCAGTAAGGTGAACATTAATGGTCTCTTTCCACTTGATGAATCCATAATGAGGAGGCATCAATATAAGATGCCCAGCAGTAGATTTAAAGGGAGGTTTATTTCAGCAGGAATTTCTTTTTGCTGAGGGTGGTGAGAACACAGAATTCACTGCTGGAAGCTGTGGTTTAAGAAAAAACAACAATGTATTTAAAAGAAAATTTATGTACATACATGAAAGAGAAAGGAATAGAGGGTACAGAAGGGGGGATTAGGAGGGGTGGAGGTTTATGTGGATTATAAACACTGGCACAGATGAGTTGGGCTGTTCAGCTTGTTTGCATGGGGTAACAATCTGAGTAATTTTATGTTATAGCAAGCATTTTTTTGTTATCCATCTCAAAATCAAACAAAAACAGAAGTTCAAGCTTGCGCTGTGGCTCATTGGAACAGCATAGGAGATCAAGGCTGGAGAGGTCAGAGTGCGAGTGGGAGGGAGAGTTGAAATGGCAAGAAACCGGAAGCTCAGGGTTGTGCCTGTGGACAAAATGGAGGTGTTCGGCAAATCGGTCACCCAATCTCCGTTCGTCTCCCCAATGTAGAGGAGACCACATCGTGAGCAACGAATGCAGTACACTACATTGGTGGTAGTACACGTAAATCGCTGACTCACTTGGAAACTCCTACGCTGTTCCAATGAGCCACAGTGCAAGCCTGAGGAACAGCACCTTATTTATCTGCTAGGGATCTTACAGCCCTCTGGCCTCAATATTGATTTCAACAATTTCAGACCATAACCGCTCACCTGCCCCCTCCCCCATTTCTGTGACCATTACCACATCATTTTGGTCCCAGACACACCTTTTCTCTCCATGATCTGCCTGTTTTGTTGCAAGTTCTTCCCCCCCCACTTTCGTTCTGCCGTATTAACACCTCTATTCCCCTGCTTCGTGCAATCCCCCTCTTTGTTCTGCATCATTAGCACCTCTTTAACCCATCATCCCCTGTCCTCTACTCCATTTACTCCTTTGTCTTCCTTGTCCTGCCTCCCCACTCTCTGTTAGCCCTTAAAAGCCTCTCCCTCCCCACATACCCCAGTTCTGATGAAGGGTCATGGACCCAAAATGTTGACTCATTCTCCTTTCTCCATAGATGCTGCCTGACCTCCTGAGTGTACCCAGCGACTTCTGTTTTTGGTTTCAGATTTCCTGCATCTGCAGTATTTTGTGTTTTGTTCAAAATCAAAATACAACCTTCTGGTCTTCAGTTGTTGCTCTGAGACAACATTGATTTGCTGTCTGATCCTTAATACACTCAAAAATGCCTGAGGTTTGGCATGGCTGCCAATTTTACTAACTTTCCTTGTTATGTTTCAGATTATCTATACAGGCACTACAGCAGTTGGCTATTTAGGTTTATGGACTGGACAACGTCCAAACAAATTTACTATTTCTGGGAACGAAAGAGGCAAGTTCAAAATTTTCTGCATGAATTAGATTGAACTAAAGATTAAAGCTACTGTTCATTTTAATGGCTAACCTGATAGCGAAAGTGACCTTTGAGACTGATCAAGTGTGTTTAGATATTAATAATTAACCCTCAATACTTTTTTAGACAGAAGCGGTTTAAGATTTTACTCTTGAAAGTTGTGGGCTGCAGTTTTTAATAAGAAATCTGTAACTGTTTACAACCATAGCATAAATGTATCAGTACTTGAGCTGTAGTTAGATGATACTTCATTGCAGTATTAGTTGGAGTTGCTGTCTTATAGATGAGATGTTAAACCAAGGTTCTTAAATGCTTGTTCAGGGGGATTTTAAATACGCCGAGGTACTATTCAAAAAGAGAAGAGAGTTTCAAAGGGTGTCCTGGCCAAAAATACTCTAAATGAATTGGTCATTCACTTCATGGCTGTTTGTAGGATCATGCTGTGTGCAAAACTGCCATCATGTTTGCCTCCAAACTGCACATTACAGTGAAGCACTGTGTGATTTTGCATTGTGCAATGCATTGTGTTATAAATTGCGCATTCTTGCTTCTAATCTAACCTTGAGTAGATTAGGACATATTACAGACAAGCGTAGAGGTGCTATATAAATGAAAATCGGTGGTGGTGAAATCGTTGAGTTTGTATCATTGAAACTTAGTGTACTTTCACACACTGCTGAAACAGAAGGGAGGGGGCTAGGCAAGCTAATACAATAATAATCTTTACATTTGATATAGCGTCTTTCACATCAGGAGAATGTGTCAAAGCGCATCACAGGATTTACTGTAAAGTGTAGTGACTGTGTATTTTGGAGTCGAACATGGCAGCCAATTTGCAAACAGCCACGTCTCACAAACAGCCATGAGGTGAATGATCAATTTGATCTGTGGCATTGTTGGCCAGGATACCAAGAGAGACTTTTTAAATTGTGCTATTGGATCTTTATCGTCTACCTGAACAGTGCCTCAGTTTAACATCTCAGCCGAAAGACAATACCTCTAAAAATGCAGGACACCCACAGGGCTGCGTTGGAGTGTGTGTCAACCTAGAATATTTGATTTCAAAGTCCTAACATGGGACTTGCACTCACAACCTTTTGACTCAGAGGCGAGAGTGCTACCATCTGAGTCAGGTTGACACACACCTGAAGATACACTCTGCATTCAAGTATACATTCTGACAGAAAGCCCCCCACATCCACTCCAGTGTGTTTTGACATAAGTGGAATTACAGTTAATTAAATTCTGTTTCAATTGTCTCTGTTCAAAGATAAAGGACATTGGTGGAGAAATGCAATTGCTGCATTTTGGAAGAGAAGCTCTCCTGTTAGTTGGCTGATAAGAGATGTGAGTAACCGAATGGAGTGATTTCCAGCACCAATAATATCCTAGTGCAGAATAGGTCATATCCTTGTGAATGATATTTTGTGTATGTTTTCTTTCTTTCATTTTAAAGAGAAAGAGGTGAGGCAGATAGAAGAATAATTGGTTAAAGGCTATTATGTAAGGATAAAATTTCCTGCCTGTAAAAATCATGTCACAAAGAATGATTACAATTGAGTAAGAGTTCCTGGGAAGAGCAGTTCTTTCAATGTAAGGTATCCTACTTTATTACCACCTCTAATGTACACCAGCAATGTTACAGCTTGAGTATGACTTTTGGGCATCTGAACTCAACTGATGTGACCAGATAGTCCAGAATCCTTGTTGATTGCTGCCTCGCATTGCTTTGACTTGGTTGGTGAATAATGAGTCAACTAACACCCATAGATCTCTTCCAGCTTCTAGCACAAGCTAGGGATCTCACTTGGAATCTTTCAGGTTTCCTATGCCTCACCTTCACTCAAAGCAATGTTTGAGTAATAGTGAAAAGCTAAAAATAATGAAAGTCTGTTTCCTTTTGGTTTATGAAGTGTTTAGTACATGTCTTTCTGTTGGAAGTGTATCGAACAGGCTACAGTTGAGATTCCAGCTTCCCAACAAAAGAGTGTTTCAATGTGTTTGCGTGTAACCAACCACAATGCAAACTAAATGGATATCATTTCATCACTCTGCTTGGTGAATGTATTGCACTGTTTATTTTAAATAATTACCTATTTGCAAGACAAGGTTTGGATTCTAAAAGATTTATCTTGCACTCAGATTAAAATTACCATTTGCAAATGACATGCTAGTGCAAAACCAGACTAAGACATGCTTGTGTGGAGAAATTACCTCTCTCTACATTCGCCACTTTGGTTTAATAAAAATGATTTAAATAAGAATTATGCACATTGCAGCAATTGCAGCTGAGTACTGTATCAGAAAGCTCACTTGAGTGTGACTCAAAGACCCATGGTTGTCAGATATGGAAATTAAAGATGGAAAGCAGGAATGAAACTGCTGTAGTGGAAGTCAATAAAGCCAGTGCAACAAAAGTGAAACAACTCAATAAGAAACCATTTTAACCATTTCTTATCACAAGAGCTTTAGATGAAGAAGACCCTTCGGCCCATTTAATCTCATTCCTCCAGAATGTGCATTATACTGACCTACCATCACAGTATCAAGCTGGTGTTTTTAAATGAATCCAGTGTTCCAGCCTCAAGCACCCTTCCTGATAACCTGTTCCAGTCATTAATTACCCTCTGGGTAAACAAATACTTCCAGGTATCTGGTTTGAAATTTGCTTTTGCAACCCTAAACCTTTCTTCTTATTTTACTTTTTATATTTTATTTTACTTATTTTATCCTAGCAGGGTGAAACCTTGTGCAAGTTTCTTTACTCCACACACCTGATAATAATCCCTCAAGAAAATAAAACAATAATAAATTGTTCACTTCAAAACCACGACTGTTTGTGGGACACTGCTGTGTGCAATTGGCTGCCGCATTTCGCCCACAAATATGAATTCACTTTTCAGTCTATTCTGTGAAGCCCTTTGAGACGTCTAGAAGAAATGAAAAGCGCGATATCAAATGCAACGATTGTTATTATTATACTGTCTTGGGGCACTCAAAAAGTCTGGGTTTACTTTCTTAATCCCACTCAAAATCTTTTATACATCTATAGGATCCCCACTGAGATTTCTTCTTTTATTTAGGACTGAAGACCTCTAGCTTGTCTAATCATTACTCATAACTCATTCCTCCAACTGGTGTCTGCACTGCCTTTACTTTCCAGTGACCATAACTATATTCTGCACTAGGTGCGGCCTGACCAGAGTTTAGGTATGATTTCTGAACTCAAGTAATTTGACTAGAAAGCCCAGAATACTGTTTGCCTTGTTAAATGCTGCCTCACACTGGTTTGACTTGGTGAATACTGAATCAACTAAAAACCCATAGATCTCTTCCAGCTTCTAGCACATGCTAGGGATCTCACTTGGAATCTTTCAGGTTTGCTATGCCTCACCTTCACTCAAGGCAATGTTTGAGTAATGGTCACAAGCTGAACGTAATGAAAATCAATTGCTAGTACATGGCTTTCTGTTGGAAGTAAAGTCTATTGAACAGGCCACAGTTCAGATTTCAGCTTCAAATAATGAGTGTATCAGGTGATGGACTGAGTCGTGAGCAGTTGCATACACATGGGGAGAGCATTCATTTCCGCAGCCACAACTGAACACTCAGCCATGGGTGAGAGATGGCAATCTCCTGAGGGCAGTTGGATGGGAAAATACAATAGAAGGAGAGAAATTCTATTCTAGATAACCTAATTGTCATTGATGTTTGTCCTTTGATGCACAGACCCTCCTTGAAGCAGAAAATTTTGAGGCAGCTAAGTGGAAACTGGCCAAGAGTCCCATCATTGCAGATGTTTACTACATCTTGGGTGGGGTCAATCCAAATGAAGGTGTGGTTATCACACGAAACCGCGATGGCCCAGTGGACATCTGGCCTTTGATGACTGTGATAAAACAGTAAGTAACCTCTCCAGACACACCCCTTTCAGTCACACCCAGGTGAATGGTCTTTGTGAATATTTTTGTGTTTGTTTCACAGTGGAGGCTAAAACAAACTGATTTTAAACAGGAAGGTATGTACCAATCTGCAGTAGCTCTGCTCCAATACAACCTATTCTTTAAAGGATTATTGTTTTGGAGATCCTGCAAGCTCATCTGATGTACTTCCTTTACTACAAAGAATCAGATTCCTTAAAGTAGAGAAATTTCTCTGAACCATACAGTATATTGTGCAGATAAAGTTCTCATAACTTCTTCATTTGCTCTTTAGTAATTATTTTAGATCAGTTTATCTTTAATTTCTAACTCACCGACCAGTGGAAATAAATTCTCCCTGTTGACATGATTTCATCATTATAGGAGAGCAGGGGTCCTGTAGCTCAGTAGTTAGAGCACTTGCAAGTGAGACACCTGGGTTCAATTCCAGGCAGGGCGAAACCTTGGGCAAGTTTTCTTACTCCACACGCCTAATAATAATCCCTCCAAAACAATAATAAATTGGTCATTTTCAATCCACGACTGTTTGTGGAACACTGCTGTGCGCAATTGGCTGCTGCGTTTCGCCCACAAATACATGGTCAATTCACTTTACAGTCTATTCTGTGAAGCGCTTTGAGACGTCTAGAAGAAGTGAAAAGTGCTATATCAAATGCAAGTATTATTATTGTTATTATTAGAGGATCCCATTTGGAATTACTGCTTTTTAACCAGTATTGATAATAATGATAATCCTTGCATTTGATATAGCACCTTAGAACATTGTTGAGACACCTCAAAGTGCTTCACAGAATATATTATAAATTGGATTGACTGTATTTTGTGGGCGAAATGCGGCAATCAATTGTGCACAGCAGCGTCCCACAAACAATTGAGTGACCAAATCTTTTTTGAGGAAATATTACCCCTGGAAAGCAATCCGCCAATCGACTAACAACCGGGTTCCTACTTACTGCTAGGTAAACGGAGGTATTAGAGTAAGGAAACTTGCCTAAGGTTTCGCCTCCAACCCAGAATCAAATCCATTCCTCTCGCTTGCCATGTGAGTGCTCTAACCACTACACTATGGAACTCTGTATTAAATTACAAAACCCTTTGTAAAATCAAATGTCAAAAACAAGTGCTTTGAGACTTTCTCCTGATGTGAAAGGCACTATATAAATGTAAGTTGTATTGTACAAATGTCATTGTTTATGGACACCAGAGGTCAATTCTAAGGGAATGGGAGCAAAATAAACCACAGTATTTTCAAATAATTTTTGTAGAGAACGGGCATTGATTAGAAAGGGATATTATTGGGTTAAAATTCTAGTCAGCATTACGTGGAACTTTGTTGTGATTTTAATGGGGAAATCCCATTAGTGGCTGTCATGGCTAAAGGTGATATATTAAATATTGACTGGAATTTCAGACCATATATAGGTCAAACAAATGTGCTATTAATCCTTTGGGTGAAATTGACAATGGAATCACCCAATATGCTGGATAAACAGTGATCACTGTATGCTTCGATCAGGGCTGATATACAATTATCTTTCTGGATCAGCACTTTTGAACCAAAGTTGAAATGGGAAGAGTTTTGGTTTGTTGACATGTGTTTAAACTGGGTTCATGTTTCTGGATTTGTGTGCTCTCCTCACTTCCGTAGGTGGTACAGAGTGGAGACAAACTATGATCACTGGACCACTCCACCTCCATCATGTGACAGAAGGTGAACTTTCTTAATTGCACCTTGAAATAAACAGTGCCCGGAGCCCCACATCCATGCTCTTACTCACTCAGCTTTCCCTCACCTCCGAAATATTACTCACCTCTGCCACTACCTCTCCCCCTTGGGATGCCACGCCTTTATCACGCGCAGGCTCGACTATGCCAGTGCTCTGCTTGCCAGACTCCCTAGCGCTCCCCTACACGGGTTCAGAATATCCAGATCTGCGCAACCCATGTCCTTGTCCCAACGGGCTCCATGAGCCTATTACCCCCGTCCTCTGTCGGCTCCATTGGCTTCCCAGCAGATTGATTCAAGTTCATCATTCTCATGTTCAACCCCCCACCCCCATGCTCGCTCCCCATACTTCCTTTGCAACCTCCCCCAATCATATCAACCCTGCTGCTCCCTTTGCTCAGTGAACCTTGGCTTGCTTTGTGTCGCCCGCCCTATTTGCTCCACCATCAGAGGATGGGTTTTCAGTCTTTCTGCCTCCACTCTCTGGAATTCCATCCCAGAATCCTTCCGACTCCCTTGCTCCCTCCCCTTGTTCAAGGCCCATCTCAAAACATGCCTCAAGGATGCTTTTAGTCTTCTCTCCCCTCCACACCCCATCGGCTCCCATCCCCAGCTCGGGTCACCAGCAAGCATTGTCAAGCGCTTTGATACATCCTCTCAACGTGAAAGGGGAAGAATAAGTGTAAATTGTAATTGTGACATTGTATTTAATGCTTCACATTGCACTCATTTTTATATTTTATATTGTTTCTCAAGAACACCAGCTATCAAGGCTCTCAATGCTACTGGACAAGATAAAATAAATCTCGATACACTTTTTCATGTGAGTCGCAATGGTAAACCATTTTATAGTTTTATCTATTTCATTTTATAAGACAGTGTAAAGTAGACATTAAGATAGGACTAAGGGGAGCTGGAGGTACTTTCTGTACAGGCTACTCTTACATTTGTATAACTCTTTAAAGAAAGCGTTGTGTTTAATTCTGTTTCATATCTATTATCCATTGGAGGCTGACTATTTTGAATCTCCACTTGCACCAGAACTGACCTCTTTTCACTACCACAGTAGTTAGGACTCCTGGAGCTTTTTATCTGTAATTGCCTCAACTAGGAAAAGTCAGTGGTGTCTGAGAACGCAGCACAACTCAGTTGCCAGTTTTTTCAAGCGTGAGAAGAGTGTTGTGCAAGGGAGAGAGAGAGAGTAAAAGTAAAGAGATTATTTCAACCAGTTATGTTAGGATAGAGTCACTCAACCTGATTTTGGAGCAAAATCCAAATGGTTGAATTTAACTTATGTATAAATCCCTCCAAAAACCAAAAACAATAATAAATTGGTCATTTTCAATCTACAACTGTTTGTGGGACATTGCTGTGTGCAATTGGCTGCCACGTTCGCCTACAAATATACAGTCAATTCACTTTACAGTATATTCTGTGAAGCGCTTTGGGACGTCCTCCTGACGTGAAAAGCGCTATATCAAATGCAAGGATTATTATTATTATATTATTGATGGTTCAATGGATGAATGCAGTGCATTGTGCGATACTTAGCCTTAGAGACCAGAAAAAAGTGACTTCAATGCCCTTGGGCTAGGGTGGAGTTGCATAGAGTGATGCACACAAAATTAGGATATCTGATCCAAAGGTTTGTATCTATGTTTATACAACACACAAGCTCCCAGCCATTCTATTCATTCTCCTAAAGCACTCTATTCCCTTCTCCCTCATATATGCGGAAGTCGAGGAAAATCAGACAGGATTCTCACTCTCCTATGATCCCTATTAGAAAGTGCACATGAACAGTTGTGGGGATGTAAGATTAGGCTCGGCTGTCATGCATTGTGAGTTTGGACAGTTTGCTGCCGATTGCTACATAGACTTTCACAAGGAGAATGCCCACTGGAGTGAGGTAGGTATCAGTGGGCAAACAGTGTCTGTGAGGAGAGCAAGCAAGAATTATATTTTTGGTTTTGGGAACAAAAACATAATTCGTAGAGAGATGTGTATTAATAGGATATTCAGCTAGATGGGACATTATATTAACTGTATGTTTCCTCTGAATTTAGAAGATCAATTTATTCATTTAATTGCAGAAAAAACACATCTATTACCAGAAAGGGCTAACACACTCATCAAGTTACATGATAACCTTGGCACTGAAAATGTACAAAAAGATAATTTGATAATAAAACAATGTAACTACAGAAATGGTTATGGTGATGTAATTTGTGTTTTCTGATGGTATTCTGTTGTATATTTTAGGTTCTGTCTGTTAACCGGACACTGAACAAGTGAGTATTGCACTAAGCTTATTTTGAATAAATTGTTGAAAGGTGTACCGCAGGCAATGCACAATACTAGATGCTACTGCACTCTTACACATTGAATATGAGGCACTTTGTTTAAAAGTTATAAAGTAATGGACTTATATGAGCACAAAAGTGGAAGGAAATCCTATTGTATAAGGGATGTAGTTGGCAGTTTTAAGCATTCTGAGACATTATCGTTGGTAAAGGCTGCCATGTTAATGCAAGTTATCGTTGTTGGTAGTAGTTGTGTAAATAGCATATGTATTGCTGTTGAGTAAATGCTACTCTTTACATTTTCACAAATTATCAGCAACTTTACTCCCACTCTTGCCATCACCACAATATTTCTTATTCCTTGGGACCCGCTGTTTTACCACATACCTACAATCCTGATGTTCATCTATAGATACTTTATATTTCACAAGATCATGAGAGGTTCAGCTGAACCTCAGTCTTTGACTGCTGTTTCAATCATCTTCGCCCACCCCTCAGCTCCCAACCCCAGCTTGGGTGCCAAGCCAGGACTGTTAAGTGCCTTGGGACGTCTTCCTGATGTGAAAGACGCTATATAAATATAAAATTGTGTTGTGAAACAGATCCTTTGGCTCATTTGACCTAATCTTTCCAAAATGTCGACCCCACCATATTCTTATCACAACATCAATTAATTTCTTAAATGAGTCCTGGTATGAATCCAATAAATACTTGCTGGTAAACAAAATGCAAAATTCCACAGATGCTGGAAAGCTGAAACAAAAACAGAAGTCGCTGGGAACACTCAGAAGGTCAGGCAGCATCTATGGAGAAAGGAAAGTGAGTCGACGATTCGGGTCGAAGTTCTGACGAAGGGTCGTGGACCCGAACCGTTGACTCACTTTCCTTTCTCCATAGATGCTGCCTGACTTGCTGAGTGTTGCCAGCGACTTCAATACTTGCTGGTAATTTATCCCAGCTGTTGATCATCCTCTGTGTGTATTAAAAAAATACTCCTGGTGTGAATCCTAAAATTGCTCTTTCAAACTCTGAACCTTTGCTTTGTTGTCCTGCTTATTAGTTTTGTTCTGAGTTTGATTTCTCCTTCCTGCCCATTTGTTGCAGAGCCGGTGGTTTGTTGCAACATTCCTGTTCTCCCTTAAGCTCATTATCTCCCAGGCTTTCAGGCATATTTATTTTTCTGCTTTGCATTGCTGCTTCGGATCGGCTGCTAATCTCCACTTGGTTACAAGGGACAGGATTGCAAGGGGAGGGGGATATGTCATCTGTTCGTTTAGGTGTTTGAATGATACTATCAGCTGTTATTAATATTTTGTGTATTTCTCCTTGTAATAAAACATCTCAGATCTTTGAGTAAAAAGAGAAAAATGCTACATTTATATAATTAATTGGATCCGTTTTCAATTGAACAAAAGTAGATAATTGACGGTTCTCCTATGTTAGATAACAACGGTTTACATTAACATAGTAGGATTTCACATGAGGAAGACATCTCAATACAACTAAATAGTTGTACTATACTGGATGCACCACAAGCATGTCCCTGCAACATACTGACTCCAAACAGGATTAGAGAGGAGTTTACATAGACTTACACTGAATGTACAGCACGAAAATAGGCCATGTGTCGCAACTAGTCCGTGCGAGTGTTTATACTTCACATGAGTTTCCACCCACTCCTTACTCCTTCCTGTTATCTTCCATTCCCTTCCCCCTCGTGTATATACAGAAAACTCCTGATAACTCTTCAGTCCAAGGAAAGGGGTTCAGTGACAAGTTATCCAGAGTGATGAGTTAGGCATATGTATAAATGCATAATTGAATGCAGTTAGAATATTTGATGGCATGATGACAAGTTAAGAAAGGTCAAGTTATCAGGAACTTACTGTATCTAGTTTCCTCTTAAACTACTATATCTAGTTTCCTCTGTTTCTTCCAATGCTTTGTCCAGTGAATTCCACATTTTCATTCCCTTCTGCATGAAGTAGTTCCTCCTAAATTCTCTTTTAGATCTCCTAGTCACTATCGTATACTTTGTCCCCTGGTTACAGACTCCCAACAAATCGGATCAGCCTATTTATGCTAACAATATTGAACCTTTTTATGATTATGAACACCTCTATTAGGTCCCCTCTTAAACCTCACAATTTGAGAATCTGAACATGTATATACAGTGCATCAAATAAAAAATGCATTGTTTAAAGTGCCCTGTGTTCTACGAGGCATTCAGTACGGTCTCTTAACTACTATTGTTATGATAAGCAGATTCACTAAATTAAACGATGGCATTTGTGAACAGATAACTATTGTATTATGCTTGAAATGTGCAGTAAAAGAAAACGTGGCAATATTTTCCAAACTGCTGTTTTAATTTCAGCTCTACTATCTATACAACTGTGATGAGTGCTGCTCAACCAGATAAGTATAGGACCTCAGTACGCACATGCAACAGAACATTTTGTTAGTCAACGGTAAGTCAAGTTGAATCGTGTATCAATTTAGATATTTTATTTAATTTGAATATTGTAGGATATTATTTTTAATCTTTTTGTTCTATTCTTTCTGTTTACTGGACTGAAGGTTTTTCATAAGCGCTATTGCAAGATCCACGAACATTCTTCCTCACTATGAAAGTCTGGGTGTCTACACTGAGTCTGAGAACAAGAGAATCGAAGAATATTACGTTGCTTCTGTCTTATTTCCTTTGCTTGACATTTATTTTTTTCCAACTCTTTTACAACAAGATTATGATAAACAACTCTTTTACATTGTAAAAGGTACAGTGTCACACACTCCACCCTGTATATATTCTAACACTGTTACCTATAAGGTATCAAAAGGTATAGGTATCATTGTTACCTATCATACGTTGCTTTTCCCTCAGCTTTTTGGTGTAGAAAATGAACACATTTTATATTGGATTACAAGTGGTAATTTTGGAGCAAATTTTGGAGTAAAGAGAGATTTAACTACTTCTATTTCAAATAACGCAGTTGTTATGAACTGTTTAATATGGTAAAAATGGTTGTATATTTTTCAATCTGCAGAAGATATTTGATATCCAGCTTTAACATTACTTGATCTTTGACAGCAATTTGTACAAGCCTACAAAATATGTCCAGCAGGCAATATTTATTGCCAAGCTTTGTGAGCACATTCAGCACATGTGGTTTTGTCCTGTAAAGGGGTCTGATTTGTGGAATTCCTCTGTGACGTGGATTTCTTATTGAAAGAGATATTACAACTTAGACTCTAAAATGCGAAAGGAATTGGAAACAGTGCTGTTATAACTTTAAAGTTATTTTATTAACAGACCTTTAATGTGAGAACAAAAAGCTTTTTATAAAATATTTTTTGAATATAATATAATCCATACAATATAATCCAAATAAAAATATATAAAATTTTTAAAGAATGTCTGATGAACCCTTTTCCAAAAGTCAACTGCAGCAAAACAAACCATTACAACTTTGTACATACGATTTATTGGGTTTACATTATTCTCACAGAATTCCGGTTATTCACTGACTGGTTTCATACATTAATTTATAACACCAACTTGTATTTACGTAGCACCCTTCATGTTGGATGTGTGTGAGGGCACATTCTTGGAATGCTTTACAGTGACGGGATCTGATGCTGATCAGGAAGGAGTGAAGGGGGAAACGGGGGTGACCGTAGGAAGAGGTAGGTTTTAAGGCAGGAGCTGAAGACACAGAGATGGGGTGAGATGGAGAGTTAGAGGCAGTTCCAGAAGTTAGGGGCATAGAATCCAACAGATAGTGTAGGGGAGGTACCGCAAACCAGTTAGCCAAGCAGAGGAGTGGGGTAGGACATTGGAGAAAAAGTGAAGTGCTAGAACATGAAGAGATTTATTGGTTTCTAAAGATGAGGATCTTGAGATAATCCAGTGCTTGTCAGTGGCAAGAGGGGGTCAGATTTCAACCAAACTCTATAAAAACACTGAATAGTCCCGTTATGGCTTTCTGCAAGGCTAATTATTGTACTGTTATTGTAGCAATCCTTGAAGAAGGAAGGGGGTGGTTTATGCTTGCTGCAACATTGATGATTATAGATACCAGTATTTTACCCATCGGTTGGTTTTGCTCACTTAAGATAGAATTTACCATTATAATTGTCTAATTTAGCCAATTGAAGCTAAACTCTTTCTTTGCCACATTGTGGCAAGATATTAAAGCAGTGGTAGCCAACCCATGGTCTGCGTGCCCAAAGTGGTTTCCTGAACATTCGCATAGTCCAGTCGAGTTTATCTTAAATCAATGTTTTGTTTCCAGTAGATACTGAGTGGCGATGTTTATGGTTTAGCCATCAATTAAGACATATTCAATCCTAAACATTTATTTTGTTGGCTGACCAGAAAGGTCACTTTATTAAATTAATTTATTTATTATTCACCACTGTATTAAAGTAAATAGGCTACCACGGTCCTCTAGAAAATACAGTCTCTACACTTTATAAATTTAGTTAATCCTCTGAAGCACTTTGAAGGTGAAAGGAGCCATATCAAATGCAAGCATCATTATTATTTCTGTTCGGAGTTGAAGGGGAATGTGATTGGAGTGCCGGGTAGTTTATGTTGAAGCACTTTGTGCTCTATGCATCTCAAAGGTCATAGTATCAAACAGCCATCCTGTGAAGAAACATCCATCACTAGTCAGGATTCTGAGGGTTAACAGATGGTGTACACACAGAGCTCGTCAGGGACGGAGTGCACTTGAGGGACTGAATGTCCTTTTCACGAATGAACCAATAAAACAGTGCTATGGACTGAGTGATGGGTTTCAGTACATTGATCAAGAAAATACAGATTGTATTATTTTTCCAGAATCAATGCTGTTAAAAAGTATTTGCAGTAGGAAAATTCAAAAATAATTGCATTGGCCGGGAATCGAACCCGGGCCTCCCGCGTGGCAGGCGAGAATTCTACCACTGAACCACCAATGCAATCCATATAAAATATCTTTTATTTTTTTGCTGACATTCATGATTTTAAATTCTATAATCATCAATGTTGCAGCAAGCATTTTTCATTCAAACTTAGGAAAAGGGAACTCCTTTGAGGTCAAACTTTATTCCCTTTCAAACAGAATTTATTTGTACGCAGTTAACAGTAGAAGTCCTGAGGCCTCGGAAAGTTTTAAAATGCATGAATTGCAAACTTGAAGTTTTGCACTCCATTTGGTAATTGTCTAGACTTTGGTAACAAGTGCTAATAAGCATTGAGCTAAAGGTTGCACAAGTGAAAGAAGCCCAGTTTTATTTTGAGGAGAATGGGATGGTACTTCATGCAATTGGGTAAGTTGTTCTTGAAATAAACTAACCAGCAAGTCTGAGAATAAAGTGCAACCATTAAATATTACTACCATTATTGGTAGTGTTGTAATTTTTTTAAATCAAAGTTATCTTAGTTCAGTTAGAAAATCAACTTGAGTTATTAATATCCCGCCAGGAGCTGCACAATCAGTAGGTTGTGCCATGTCTCAAAGGGACATTTTCGTTCCTGCTGCAGATTGAAATATGAAACGTTGGTACCATCCAGAGGCTGGAATGTCCTTAAATTCATTCAGTCACACAGTGAAATCTGCTTAGAATAAGCTCACAATAAATATAGCCAGGTGAAATCAGAGAGCACATTTCTTACAATCATATTAAATATTGTTGGATGCAGTAATCAGCTGTGCTTAAAGAGCAATCAAGATAGCTTTAGTAATAATGATGGTAAAAGTTCTGTTTGGGGGTACTTACCAGTGGAGTTAATAATAATCCTTGTGCTTGATATGGCTCCTTTCAGGTAGCAGTTCTTTCAACTCATTGTGTCTACCACTGCAACCTGTATTATCACACCTTATTATTAATTCCACTTTCCAGCTTTTCCTTAATATTTTGACTGCTCAGGTGCTTGTGTTGCTCTCCACCTCCCTTGCAAATTATTCTATTCACCCAGCCGCCGTCGTCTGGGTTAAGGGGCTGCCTCCACTTGTCCGTCTCCGGCCTCCTCCTTTTCCCCTGGACCCTCCTCCCCACCATCGGCAACCATGCTTTCAGCCACTAAGCCCATGGAACTCTCTCCTTCAATCCCTTCGTCTTGCCGCCTCTCTCCACATTTTCAGGTTGCGCTTGAAGACCGTCCTCTTTGATAGTGCCTACGATCACCTTCCCCTCCTCCAGGCTCGGCATCGGGCTCCGCCACTGTTAAGCGCTCCAAGACACCAGCCAACATGAAGGGCGTTATATAAATGCAAGTCTTTGTTAATGAATTTCACCTTTAACATCACTCTGAGGAAAGGAATTGCTTCTCTGCTTTTGCCATCAATCCTGACACTGTGATTGCTGTTTAGTTTTCACATTACGTTTACCTTTTTGCTGACTACCTGACTTGGAAAGCCAGTCTTTCGAGACGAACATCAATGAGTTTACCCAATTGAAGCGAAAGGTTAAGTCTCCAGTTTCACGAGCCCCTGGAGAGTAGGTTTTGAGCTGCCTGCTTAATCACAGAATACAATCTGTAACTTATGAGATGTGATCAAAGGTCAAATTCACCAGATGTTAGCGTGCTGCAGAGGTGAAAGCAAAGCAATTAAACTAACAGTGCAAGAAACATCAAAAGCAACTTTTATCCTTGGGTAAAAAAATTCACTGCATTGGCCGGGAATCGAACCCGGGCCTCCCGCGTGGCAGGCGAGAATTCTACCACTGAACCACCAATGCAATTGATGGAAAAGAGCTTCTCTGTATAGCTGAAATAACTTTGTGTGCTTGCATCCCACTTGTTTATTGCTGACTTATAACATAATCAATCACAGGAAGAGAAAAGAGAGTTGATCTCTTCCTCTCCTTCACAAACAACAGAATGCACAATACAATTAACTGCAACAAAATAAGGGGAACCAAAAAACAAGAAAATACTGTGGACATTTTAAGAGGTGATTGAGAATAGAACAAGAACAAGTTGCATTTACAGAGCGCCTTTCACATTGAGAGGATGTGGTGAAGTCAAAGGAATGAGAAACTAGGTTTAAAATCTCCAAATACAGATGAAACCAGTTCAATAATGACTCATGAGGTTACTGAGTGGGAGAGAGGGGGTGGGGTGACTGAGAAGACAGAAGTCAGCGTCAGGATGTTTTCCACTTGATGTTGTGAATAAAGCAAATGAACGCGGAAACAAGCTGCGTGATTGATGGTCACTGTTATTGTGGAATCTTGGCATTCCCTCTGCTGCACGTCCCCCGTTGTCCCACTGCTGTGGGCAGAGAATTGTCACTATACCTCTGTTCTCAACAATTCTCTGCCAAAATCCATCTGACTCTCACCCACCCTTTCAAAACCGTTCAAAAAACTTACCTCTTTGACCTGTACATTTGTTCATCTCCCCTCCCCTCCCCCGGGCTCGGATTCTTACCTTGCTCGGATTTCCATTACATCCCTGTAAAACAGTTTTACGTGAAAGACGCTATATAAGTGCAACTTGTTGTTTCTGCTAAGATTGCGTCCACATTCAAGTGGCTTGAGTATGAGAATAGAAGAGAGGAAACAAGCAGATATTTGAGAATAGTAGATTCGAACACCTTAAGGCGGGGTAGGTTCGAATGAAGAAACCCATCACAATGGCTCATTCAATCTTCCTGCAAACTCAATTACATAGAATTAATTGCATTGAACGTGACTGCATGGAAACAAGCCACACAGTCTGTGCCAGTGTTTGTTCCTCACGTAAGCCTAATCCCCTCTCCTTTAACTCTCTATTCTCTTCTTCCCTGTGTTTGCATGAAGTTTCCTCATAAAAGCACTGATTTTGTTTAAACAAAATATATATATTTAATTGTTGATATATATTTACGTTTGTCTCAGACAGTATCAAACCTGTTACAGATAAGAAGACTCAACACGTTGTTATCCCGTTACAGAATGCCACAGACCCGGCCCCTTGTGGCGGGGTGAGGGTTGGCGGGGGTTGTTGCCCACTTTGGTGGAGGGACCAAGGGTTTTGCCACCCTTTGCAGGGCTCAGTTACAAATGGGGCCTTGTACCCCGCCCCTCCCTATCCCTCCCCTCTTCGTGGGGAGTGTGGACAGTTTCACAGCACACGGGTTGTGTGCACAATTTTTTGGGACGCTCCCTTTAAGACAGTCGGGAATCACGCCTGCGTGCACTACATCCATGTGCGCGCCCGCACACACCCTGATAAGGCGCACTTGCTGCTTTCAGAAAGTGCCCCGATGTGCACCAAATCGCGCCAACACAAACCCAGACACATACCCTATATACCCAAAACGTCCCACTCCTGTCACCACGGCGTCTCTGCTGGGGTTCAGTTCCCCTTTATCTACAGAGAGCAGTTACACGGGTGGGCTCGTTGTGACTCTGCCTTCCTTTTACAGGACGGTGTGCCTTTACCTCACTCCCTGCTGCTGCCCCCTTTATGGGGGTGGGGGTTGGAGGCAGATAGACACGTATACATTTTCGGGACGCTGTTTGTTTACATCTCCTGCGTCCCTCTGTACATTTAAAGGTTACACACATGTTTATTCACAGTTTTGGGTGTACTCGTGGATTACCTGGTGATCGCTCCCTGAGGTCTCCCTCTCAGTGGTAGAGACCCTGGTGCGTGGGGATGTGATGCCGATGCCAGCTCGGCTAGCCAGGAGCGGCTCTGGCCATGGTCAGGCCCCATCTGGCGTTTGCCACGCTGAGCCGAACTTCAGGGTGTCCCTCAGTACGTAGCCCCTGATCCTAGCGTGTGCAACAACAACAACAACAACAAGATTCCATTTATTGAGCGCCTTTCACGTCGGGAGGACGTCCCAAGGCGCTGGACAGTTGGGTCAGGACCCGAGCAGGGGGGAAATGGTCAGGGTGAGGGGAGGGAAGGGAGGGAGCGAGGAGGGGGTAGAGAGTCGAGAGGGGAGCTGAAGGCACGGTCAAAGAGAAAGGTCTTGAGACCGGCCTTGAAGGAGGAAAGGGAGGAGGCGGCGAAGGCACTGGGGGATGGAGTTCCAGAGCCTCGGGGCTGAGAGGCTGAAGGCCCGACCACCAATGGTAGGGCGGTTGGGGCGGGGGATGTGGAGCAGACCGGAGCCAGAGGAACGGAGGGTAGGGGCAGGTAGGTAGGGGGATAGTAGGTCAGAGAGGTAGGAGGGAGCGAGGCTGTGAATGGCCTTGTAGGTGAGGATGAGGATCTTGAATTTGATCCTCTGGGGGATGGGGAGCCAGTGGAGGCGAGCGAGGGTGGGAGTGATGTGGTCCCGAAGCCTGGTGCGGGACAGTACACGAGCTGCAGAGTTCTGAATGACCTGCAGCTTGTGGAGGGAGGTGCCGGGAAGGCCGGCGAGGAGAGAGTTCCCATAGTCCAGCCTTGAGGTGATAAAGGCGTGGACCAGAGTTTCAGCCGGATGAGGTAGTGCCGCAGTCTGGCGACATTCCGGAGGTGATGCAAGCCTGAGGCTGACTGTCTCTGTCACCTCGTTCCGCCAGAAGACCACCAGATTTCGGGAGTGCCAAAGGGCCTCCTTCACCGAGTTGATGATCCTCCAGGCACACTCGATGCGGGTCTCCCTGTGGGTGCCACAGAAGAGGCCGTACTACAGCACCGTGACAGTGGGTCCCCAGGGACGAACTGTGAGAGCCATCATTTCATCTGTTTCCAAACCATCTTCGCGTACCGCCACTCTAGGAAGAGGTGGTCCACGGTCTCATGGCCTCTATAGTCGGCCCGAGGGCAGTGCTGCAACCGGCCCAGACCTCAAAAGTGCATGAAAGCTCTGAGGAGGAGGGTCCTTTTTATCGCCAGCCAGGCCGTGTCCTGATGGTTGTTGTACAGGGCTGATGACGAGGCGTTCTGCCAGGTGAGGCTGGCAGTCGCTGCAGGGTACCCCCCGATCAGGTCTGCCCTCTCCCCCTTTTCTAACGGTTTTGACAACTTGCCGCGCAAACCATTCAGTGATTGCGCAGGGGTCTGGGATGGTGCTCTTCAGATATTTCTCTGGATAGGATAGGTATTTCGGCACGCTCCAACTGTGTGGAACGTTTCGAGGCAGTTCTACGTTGATGGAGTTAATCCATCAACACGTGTTGCTTGAGGGCATCACGTGTTGATGGATTATTGAGTCCTAGACCTGTGAGTACGTGACTAGTCACATTTCGCACGCGTAATTCACTGAAGCCAGTAAGTGCACAGAAAGTAGTTTGTCACTGCAGCTCAAAAAGGGCATGCAGCGATAGGTCAAGACTACATTTCTCACGATTCAATGCGTCTTGACTTGTCACTGCATTCACATTTACCGGCAAGCTTTGGAATTGCATTGAGTCACGGGAAATGAAGATCTTCTGCGCATGCATTGACAAATCAAGACTATGTTTCCTTCGATTCAGTGCTGCCGGCTGGTAACTGCGATTAAGGTTTTGATAGGAAACTGAATAGGAATGTAGCAAATATACATCTTAAGCAATTATACAATTTATAAAGATGTTTTACTGTACATAACAAAACTTAATTTGTATTTCCCTTAGTGGAGTAGTGGATAAAGGCACTGAGTAGTAGATATGTTGGTTGCAGGTTCAAATCCAGGTCTGTGCTTAGGTGAGTAATTGTGAGGTAATATTACAATTGGCATCAATATTTTAAGGCAAGTAACCAAAAAACGAGACAAGATTGTCATCCATTCTGGCATTTTTCTACACTGTAAAATTCTGATTTCTTAAACCACCTTGACTCCCCTCTCGACTCTCTTCCCCCTCCTCGCTCCCTCCCTTCCCTCCCCTCACCCTGACCATTTCCCCCCCTCCTTGCTCCCTCCCTTCCCTCCCCTCACCCTGACCATTTCCCCCCTCCTCGCTCCCTCCCTTCCCTCCCCTCACCATTTCCCCCCTGCTCGGGTCATGACCCAACTGTGCAGCGCCTTGGGACGTCCTCCTGACGTGAAAGGCGCTTTATAAATGGAATCTTGTTGTTGTTGTCGAAGGGGTTATAGAGGAAAAAGTGAGGAAATGGCATTAGATTGCTGTGAATTCAGAAGTTGTTAGAACAGGCTGGATGGGATGAATGGTCTCCTGCTGTTCCTGTTTCACTGGCTTTACTGCCTCCTCTGGGTGTGGGCTTTAACCTGTGCAGGGCAAAACCTTAGGCAAGTTGCCTTACTCCACACGCCTCTGTTTACCTAGCAATAAGTAGGAACATGATTGTTAGTCGATTGGCGAATCGCTTTCTGGGGGTAATAATCCCACTCAATCCACTAGCTAACTAATCAGAGAGACAGGGAAATGATTGCAAATGGATACGGAAATCAATAAATGAGGAACCCAAATTACTAAAATATAGAAATAAAATGAAAACAAATCATTGATCTGAGGTTGTTTAGAGGCTGAGAAGACAGACTCAGAACATTTTCCAGTTGGTATTCTCAGTAAAGTGGAAGCTTGTGTTAGACAGTGATTGTGTGTAGTTGCTGTGATTACTTCCAGAAGGGAGTGTGCTTTCCAAATGCAGAGAATATGAGAACAAAAACGAAAATGAGGGGAAGTTACAGAATTGGAGCAGTGACCAGCTCAACACTGACTGTGTTTAAATAAATTATGGATGAGCAGGAGTTTGCAAAAAGTTAGTCTGCATTGGCCGGGAATCGAACCCTGGCCTCCCGCGTGGCAGGCGAGAATTCTACCACTGAACCACCAATGCAACTCACATTGTAATCTTCCTCTATACTTCATTTACTTTCACTTTCTTTTCAGCATTGTCTTAATGTAGCAGGTTACATCTGTAAAATGAGACCCTGAGTTATAAACTATTCTCTTTTCATCTCAAACATTTCTATTTACCAGGGGCATTGCAATCTGATCATTGTGAACCTGACTTTTTATTCATCCAGACTCACAGGTTGGATACAGTTCCAGGGGGCAACCTGTCATTTTCAAGAAACCCCATTAAACCATAGAAATGTACAGCCCAGAAGAATGAAATTTGGTCCAGCATGTCTGTGCTGGCTCTTTGCAAGAGCAAACTATTCAGTCCCATTTACCTGCTCTTTTCCCAAACATCTCCTTCATCCACCTAAAGCTCCCGGTCCCGCAGTTCTATACTGTTTTACTATGATCAGCAAGTCACCGCTCAAGTCATCGGGATCGAGGAATTCAGTAATGTAGCCTCCAGACATGAAAGGCACTATACAAATGTAATTTGTTGTTGTTATAGGGCAACCAGAAGCCTCTATTTAAAACTTCCACCCTCCATTCACTTTGATTTCCATTCACTACAGTTCCACAAATGATTTTTCTTCTCGTCCCCGCCCGATCACTTCAGGGGTACCCCAAGGATCCATCCTTAGCCCCTTCTATTCCTCATCTGTATGCTCCCTCTCGGTGATGTCATCTGCAGACACGGGGCTAACTACATGTATGCAGATGACACTCAACTCTACTTCTCCTCCAGCTGTGACCCGCAGTCCCCTGATGTTTTGTCAGCTTGTCTGACATCAAGGCCTGGTTAAGCGCAAACTTCTTGCAGTTAAACATCAACATGACGGAAGCCATACGCTTTGGCTCCCGTCGACATCTTCTGCCCTGCAGTTCAGACCTCCTCAACCTCCCCGATCGGTCCTCAAAACTCTCTGAACCCATGTGCAACTTCGGTGTCAGGTTCGATCCCCAGTTATACTTCTCCCCCACATCCGATCCCTGGCCAGGACCGCTTTCCTTCACATCTGCCTCATTGCCAGTCTCCGACAATACCTCACTCCACAAGCTGCCGAAACTCTTGCCCACACCTTCGTCACTTCTCAGCTGGACACTCTAATGCCCTCCTCGCCGGTCTCCCCTCCTCCACTATTCACAAAATTCAACTCATCCAAAACTCCACCGCCCGCATTCTCACCTGCACTAAACTCCGCACCCCGATTACCCCAGTCCTTGCCAAACTCCACTGACTCCCTGTCACAGAGCGGATCGACTTCAAGATCCTCACTTCCATGGCTTGGAACCCCCCTATCTCTCCAATCTCCTCTCTCCTCATAGCATAACCCGCTGCCTCCACTCTACTGGCTCCGTCCTCTTCCTTGTTTCACAATCGGTGGCCATGCCTTCAGTCACTTTGCCCTGAAGCTTTGGAACTGCCTCCCTCAATCCCTTCAACTTGCCCCCTCTTTCCCCATTTTCAGGTTGTCCCTGAAGATCTTCTTCTTCGACAGTTCCTATGGTCACCTGCCCCCTCCCCTGACTCATTATCGGGTTCCACCATGGTTAAGTGCTCTGGGATGCCGCCTGGCGTGGAGAGCGCTGCCCACGTGTAAGTTGTTGTTGGTTGCAAAGAACAAAGATTGAGAAAGCCGCAGACTCAACACAGATTGTGTTTAAAATAACTTTAGGAAGAGCAAAAGTTTTCAAAAAGATAATCTGCATTGGCCGGGAATCGAACCCGGGCCTCCCGCGTGGCAGGCGAGAATTCTACCACTGAACCACCAATGCAACTCACATGGAGCCAATGTGGGACTGGAAGCCACAATCCTACCAAGTAAATTGGAAAGAAACTGATCCATATGTTTAGCTGCTATGATTGATTCCAGAAGGGATTGCAAGCACATAATGCACAACCCATGAGTGGATAAAAGAGGAAAATGAATGGATGTTTATCAACTGCGACACTTAAACCTGCAAAAGTAAGTTAGGAGGAGAGACAACAAATCAAATCAAGATCTCCCACCTGGCAGGTGAGAATTCTACCACTGAACCACCAATGCAACTCACATTGTAAACTTTTCTCTACTTCTCAATTCCTTTCACTTCATAGTGACAATGCACTCAAACTACTATCCTACCCCCATTATAACATGGCAAATGGAGCTTTACAAAAGATTTTTCATGGTTTGGCTGCTTTACCATGCTATGTTCATCTCCCCCTTCCCTCTTCTCATCCCCCCCTACACTCCTTCGACCCTATCTCTCCCTCCTCCCTCACCACAACTGTCCGCAAACTCAAACCCACCAACTGCTCCCTTGATTCCATCCCCACCTCTCTCCTCATCTCCTAGCTCCACCTTCTGACCCCTCTAATGTCCGATATCATCAACTTCTCCCTGTCCACTGGTTCAGTTCTCACCCCCCTAAAAACAGCCATCATCACCCCCATCCTGAAAAAACCTTCCCTGGACCCATTCCTCCTCTCCAGCTACCGACACATCTCTAGCCTCCCATTCCTCTCCAAGGTCATGGAACGAGTCATTGCGTCCCAGCTCCGCTCCTTTCTCTCTCGCCATTCCCTCTTTGAACCCCTTCAATCCGGCTTCCACACTGCCCACAGCATGGAAACAGCCCTGGTCAAAGTCACTGATGATATTCTGAACATCTGTGATCAGGGCTCCCTCTGCCTCCTTGTCCTCCTCGACCTCTCTGCGCCTTTGACACTGTCGACCACTTCATCCTCAAACACCGCCTCTCTGCTTTACTCAATCTTCGCGGACCTGCCCTTGCCTGGTTCGATCCTATCTCTCTCACCATCTCCACTTCGTTGCTTCTAACGGTTTCTCCTCCAGCCCCCGCACTGTCACGTCTGGCATCCCCAAGGGCTCTGTCCTTGGCCCTCTCCTCTTTAATATCTATATGCTCCCCCTTGGTGACATCATCCACAGACA